CCTGGCGGCACCGAGGGCCCCACTGCAGCCGGCACAGCCTCATCACACAGATGTCCCTGCGGAGCCGTCACAGGCCCATCACACGCACATCCCCGCAGAACCCCACGGCACGGGCGGCCCCAGCGAGGACACTGCAACCCCAGGCACTTCCCCACTGCGCCCGGGTCCTTCAGCCTGGCTTCACCCGCTGCAGTGCCCGCCTGGGCACCCGGACACTGCAACATCCTGCCAAACCGATTGCAGGAAAATGGGCTCCGATTGCTTTTTAATGCCTGTCTGGGGTGGGATGGAGCAGGCAGGGCTGGCCCGTCAGGATGGCACTACCAGCAGCTCAGCAAACGTCTCAACTCCCCCCAGTAGAGCAAAAACCCCCACAGGACCCTGGGGATTCAGCACCCTGATCATGTAACGGAGCCTGTGCCACAGGGGCCATGACGATGGGCTCCAGCACCCAGGGTCCCTGCGGGCAGGGGGACACAGGTCTGCACATGGTGGCTGTGTGGGAGCGCCAGGGATGCAGCCAGGGGGACAGGGAGGAGCTGCAGGACGGTGGAAGGGACACGCTGGGGCTGCATCATATCCTGCCCCTGCACCAGGCAGGGCTGCCGTGGGCCCCAACCTGGCCAGGAATCCCCGGCCCCACCCCCACGACGGCCAGCGGGCGCGGGGGGCTGCAGGACCCCCCTGCCCCGATCAGCGCTGCTGCCTGGGAGCAACTGCAGAGGAGGAGGGTGCAGCTAAAAATAGAGGCGGGCGGCCAAAAAGCTCCCGGCTGGTGATTTATTTATCACCCGCATGCTAATTCCTGCCTGGGATCCACGGGGCAGGAATGGGGGGCAGCCGGGATCCGAGCTGGGGTGCCGGAGGATTCGTGGACGAGCACCCCTGGCCCATGGGTCCAGCCCCTCACGGGTTTGCGCTGCGGGGGGCCCGGCCGTCGGGGCTCAGGGCTGCCTGTGCACAAGTGCGTCACATCCCGACCCGGTCCCCGCAGGGCCCCGCTGCACTCCCCACCGCCAGCCTTGGCCATATCGCAG